CCAACAGCATTGTGTGGATGTTTGTTCACAAACACATAGTGTTATAACCTTTTTCCAAATAATCTACAACAGAGATTTTCAAAGTATGCTCCACGGAGCCCTTGCTGCTCCGTGAAGCACACTGAGGGCCTCGACAGGTGGTGTGTGTGTGTGTGTGTGTGCTTTGATTGTGCTCTCCCTGCATGGCAGAAGGGAGTTGAACAGAATGGCCACTGGGGTTTCTGCCATTATTATTATTATTATTATTATTATTATTATTATTATTATTATTATTATTGCTATTACAAAGGCTGGGTGGCCATCTGTTGGAGTGCTTTGATTGTGCTTTTCTTTCATGGCAGAAAAGGGTTGGACTGGATAGCTCCTGGAGTCTTCCACTGTTAAGTTAATGATAAGTTTATGTTGGTCAAAAAGTTGGCCCATGCCTGATACGCACAAACACATACACACACATACATTTCTTGGAGATCCACAAGAAACTTTTGCTTCAAAAAGGGCTCAGTGGCTGAAAAAGTTTGAGAACCCCTGATCTACAATCATCTCTCCACATCTCCTGGAGTTAGAGATTCGGAAAACCCATAAAAATGAAAAACAAATTAAAAAATGATATCTCTCTAGAAGACATCTCTCTAGAAATTTCTAGGTCTTCCAATACAACTCAGTGGTTATCTTCAACTGGAAACTGGCCACAGAATGCATTGGAAGGCTAACTGCTTTATCATACTAGTGCTTTAAAGCAAGCAACCTGGCATTTTTGGCATCTTCTGCCACCTGCAGAATTCTGGGAAATGTAGTTTGGGAAGGCAGGAGCCACTGTATCTGTGAATATAAAAGGCCCCGCCCTAAGCTACTTTTCCCAGAATTCTGTAGGCGACATAAGATGCAAAAAATGTGGGGCTGGCCTCTTTAAAGCCGTACTTTGATAAAGCAGTTAGAGATTCTTAGAGAGTCATTCTCTCTAGAAATCTAGGTCTTCCAACATGTCTAGAGGAAACTGACCATAAAGTCACAGTATAGGACCTAGAAAATCCTAGAAAGAATATTTTAATCAAATCCTTGAATAATCAAATCTGCAGAACTCAAAACCACAAATGTGGAGGGACTATTGTAGTTTTGTTTGTTTGCTCAGACATCAATCAGAACTAGGATAGGCTATTTCTGCATTGGTTCTGGATGGCTAATATAGGGACACTTTAATGCTCTATTAAAATACTGGGCTTAATGCACTGAAATCAGCAGGCCTGGGTATACTTAATTTTAGTCTGCACAGGATTGTCTTGTTAGAAAAATAAATTTGAGTTCTACCCTCTCAAAGTCAAAAGTGCAATCTATAAGCCCCTGCTATTTTAGAAAGGAATCTATTTTAAAATATGTTTTCTTCTCACATTATAATTGCTGCGTACCCTCAGTGTGTTTCTGGAATTTCTTTTTGAGAAATAGGGAGCTCATAAACATTGTTTTTTTAAAAATAGCATGAGTCTTAGTCAGCACTGGACTATATCCCCATTCTGTCATGGAAACCCACTGGGTGATCTTTGGAAAGTCAGAGTCTCTCACCTTCAGAGAGAAGGAAAGGCAACCCTGCTGTGAGCAAACTTTGCCAAGAAAAGCTCTTGACAGTTTTGCTTAAAAGTCACCTCATCAGAAATGCAATTGCTCTTACACATGAAACTAATACATGGTTTCCAAGTTTTATCAAATATATCTTCCTTCAATGCACCCTTTTGCCAATCTTAATTTATTGGTTAACTTTTCCGATAGAGCTATCATCCATATCCTGTTTAACCAATTATTTAATTCAGATTCTTTAACATTTTCAAATCTTTCAAATCATATTTCAAATCTTGGGGCACATAACATGAACAGTATAAGATTTTTAGTTACCAGATCCTTATTTTCACTTTCAAATACAGAGCTCCCCTGAAATGTATTATTTCCCACTAACATCCAAAAAAGATGTTAGCGGGAAACATTGAGTAATTTGTGAGTACATTACAATAATTTTATGTATTTGATAAAATTTAAATAATGTCGATGTAACAGAATTGACAGTACTGTATTTTTTATCATGCTATGTAAATAATGGAAGGGCTAGGGGAATAGATGATGAGATAAAACTTTTGTATCATGTTTCAAATGTTTGAATAAAAGTATTTCATTTAAATGCCTTGGAATACAACACCACATACCATATATACTTGAGTATAAACTGACCCAAATATAATCCGAGGCACCTAATTTTACCACAAAAAAACTGGGAAAACTTATTGACTCGAGTATAAGCCTCGGCTGGGAAATGCAGTAGCTACTGGTAAATTTCAAAATAAAAATAGATACCAATAGAATTACATTAATTGAGGCATACAGCTGGGTTGCTATGCCTAGAGGAGAAGCCATGTGCCTTCCTCTTCTCTCTCGGCACAGAGATCCAGCTGGGTTTCTGTGCCAAAAACGGAGGAGGCACACGGTTGGTAGAAGCCCTGCAAAGGGCTTCTTTCAGGCCCACACCTTACTGCCAGAATCCTCACTTGAGAATGTGCCAAGGGGGCCCTTTTCAGATGAAAAACTAGGCTTATACTTGAGTATATATATACAGTAACATCAGTGGCCTTTTGCTACATCCACATTTCTCTCATCAGTCCTCATGGATCTAATCCTATGAGCCAATGAGTCCAAAAACTGAAATTCTAGACATTAAAGCCAACTGTTCACATTTATCTTACAAAAATGTTTCTGGAATCCCAAAAAATTTAAAGAATTAGAAAATGGGGGAGGGGAACAGGGACGGAAAACAAGGAAACATTCCATTCCCACATTCAATACTTGTGCACTCCTTCTCTACTTGCTTTTCAGTAAAGCTGCAGGCCTTCTGGCTTTTTACACATGGTCGCACAGAACATTTGGACCACGACACAGTGATTCATTATGCTTGCAGGTCGCATCTTACAGGCATTTTTCTGGCAAAGCACATCTGAGGTCCATATTCCCCGAACAATGCAATTAGTTTCTAATCAAAGCTCTGCATTTGAAAAAACCCCACATATCTCTTGATATGCATAGCTTTAGGCAGGTTAGCATTCCTAATAGATTATCTAGTCTAATACTATGCAGAAATGTTAACTACAGTGGCCATCATCCTCAGCCTGCATGAGTATTGGCCAGGTTAGTAAAGGCTGGGTTATAAAATACTTGAGCAGAGAGAATCTGCCAGGATTTTGTAAAGGAGATTTTCATGCTCTTATCTTTTAAACTTCTCTGCTTGCTATTCTTTCCCCACAATGAGCTGGTAGTGTAAAGAAAATTTCATCACCATTTCCTCCTTTCTTCCCAGACTCTTCCTCTATGTGAGACTCTGCAGTGATGAATTGGGCCATCTGGATTTCATTATATGGGGGAAAGACTAATGCTTGGGGAATTAGAAGGCAGTAGGAAAACAGGGATACTACACTACAGGTGGATGGACACAATCAAGGAAAACATGGCCCTGAGTTTCCAATACCTGATCAGGGCTGTTGATGACATGTTTTTGGAAGTCTCTCATTCATACCATAAATTGAAATAAACTTTACAGAAAATAACAACAAACTTTATGAAAGATGTTTCTTATTTATTAACAAATTTACACTCTTAGTTCCAAACACTTTCCCCCCCTAAGGTGATCTACAAAAAAGAGAGTCAATGTGATATAGCAATATACAACTGTTCGATCAGGTTTCAAATCCTCATTCAGTCATTGACCATGACACAGTGCTTACCTTAGACAAGCTTCACATTCTCAGACTCAGATGAAATTGGCTCTGAATAAACTTTGCAGAGTAAACTTTTGTGATAGGGGCATCAAAATGGGTTTACTCAAAGGCACATCAGCAACAACACCAAAGCCATCAATAAAATAACAGTCTCAAAAGCAAAAATGGATACAAAAAGTAACAAAATGGGGGGAGAAACAGTCAGTTTCAGGGATACAATGCCTGGCATCCCATTAAACAGTTACAAATGAATAAACTAGACCTACACGTCTGTACTTATATTTACAAATATGGCAATATTGCCATGAACACAAAGGTCCTTCTCAAACCTTCCTGAACAACCAGCAAATACAACAAGGAATTGAGATCTGGGTTGTTGTAGGTTTTTCCTTTGTTGAGAAGTGATTAGCTGTTCCTAATTGGATCCCCCCCCCCCAGCAGAAACAAGCCACACCTTAAAAATGTCAGGCCATCAAATGCTAATCAAAATGGCCAATTGAAACATTCACACCTAGCTCCAATGGATAAGAGTTCTTTCTCCAACTTTGGACTTTCTACAGATATATAAACCCAATTTTCCTAGTTTCCATCAGACCTCACAACCTCTGAGGATGTCTGCCACAGATGTAGGTGAATCATCAGGAGAGAATGCTTCTAGAACATGGCCATACAGCCCGAAAAACCTACAACAACCCAATTATTCCGGCCATGAAAGCCTTTGACAATACATTGAATTGAAGTCTGTTTGGATGACAATCAAGATGGACAGGATGGTATTCCTAGCACTTTTTCACCAGTAACCTGTGGGGTGACAATCAGAAAGAGGATCCCCGTTGTAAATATTCATACTACCACAGATCACTTGTGGGAGCTGAAAATCCCACTCTAATCACCACGAGAACAAACTTCTATCATTTGGTGTAGCTGCTGGCCTTTAAGGAGTGTTTGAAGAGATGAGTCAGAAGACAATTCACACATACATATTTGCAACTACATCTGTGATGCAGCATCTTTGCCAATATTTACAGATTACTAAGGACATTCTCAAAAAAAATCAGGTGTAGAAAATATACAAGTGCCAAGTAAGGATGGCATATACAACTCACAAAAGAAGCTCTTTCAGTGGATTTTACAGCATAAAATATAGTGTGCACTAGCCTATACATTTAACGTTTGCAATCATGGATCCAATCCATCAGACAATCCACAAAAAAAAAAGATTTCAGATCATTTTGAGGCTTATAAATTTCCATGTTCACACACAAAGCCTCATTTGTGGAAAACAGCTCTAGTACAAAGATTAAAACCAGAGGTAAACCAGAATCAACAAGAAGCCTATTCCAGGTTGCAAACCCACAATTATAACTGGAAATAAGTCCCACTAAATGTGACTTATCTTTAAGCACACATAGAACTGTGCTGCTAGTTGAGCAACTTAAATCTGAATGTGTTCCACTGGGATCTTCCAGCACCCTATGGCTTTCTTACCAGTATTTAGACTTTACCACTTCAACTGAGAACTGAAAAATTGATAATATCAGCATTGTGAGGGTAAAAACTGGAAAGGAAGTGAAACACTCAAGGTGGAAGTTGGTGCACAATTGCAAGAAACATCCACTGCTGGTTTGCATTATCATTCTAGAACATTGACATTGCCATATAGTGCCAATGTCTGTGCTGCCTAGACAGCTGGAATACAAGGGAGGGAGAGTCGGAGAACAGTGCAAAAAGACAGGGAAGTTTCAGCTGCTTTACTCAGAGAGGGAGACCAGTCACACAGCTCAGTTAAAGTGGAATCACTGCTACAGCTGGAGCCGCCAGTGGTGCGGTTAAACCCTTATGCTGGCAGGACTGCTGATGACAGGTTAGTGGTTTGAGTCTGGGGAGAATGGGTTGAGTTCCCTCTGTCAGCTCCAACTCCCCATGCAGGGACATGAAAGAAGCCTCTCACAAGGATGGTAAAAACATCAAACATACGGGTGTCCCCTGGACAACGTCCTTGCAGACGGCCAATTTTCTCACACCAGAAGTGACTTGCAGTTTCTCAAGTCGCCTCTGACACGAAAAAAACCTGCTACAGCCCATTCTATGGAATACTGGCATTTTCAGTTTAAGGGAGCAATATTTAGAATTCTCAGTGAGAGAGCTCTAGTGTCTTAGCAAATGATAAATGTAAGGATTTCACAAGTTGTGGCCAGGGCAGTTAAAAGATAACCTATAGTTGGATAGTGTCAATGGGCAGAAAGGGTTGGAGGTTAAATAAGTGAAGATAATAGCCCCTGCTTCTTAGAGCTACCTCCACTGGGAAAGATAAAAGTCAACAGGACTGCTGTGCGATCTCTTTTCCCCTTTTGGGTGACCTGAGGTAGATCTAAACTGTAGAATTAATGCATTTTGATGCCACTTCTAACTGCCAAAGCTCAATGCTATAGAATCGTGGGAGCTGTGGTTTTACAAGGTCCTTAGCCTTCTCTGGCAAAGAGTGCTGGTACCTTTGTCATGATCCCATAGCACTTGGTTGTGGCAGTCAAAGTAGTGCTAAACTGCATTAATTCAATAGTGTGAATGCATCCTTCCTGTGTTGAAATTATGCATTGACCTGGTCACACAGCAAGTGACCTAAAAATCATAAAACATTCGACAACTACAACTTTCCCTTCAAAGGAAACAAAACCTTCCAGTTATGCATCAACCAAGCAACCCGCTGCTAAAGGGTAAAAAATGGAATGACATCCAAACCATGGGAAGCTTCTTCTGGGCATGGCCAGTCAAATGCTCCCCAACCTTTGATCCTCCACATTTTTGGACTTCAGCTCTAAAATTAACAATCTGGTTGGGGCTTCTGGGAATTGAAATCCCAAAACCTGGAGGATCAAAGGCTGGGGTGCATCTACATTGTAGAATATAGATTGAATTCACTTTAACTGTCATGTTGCAGTGCTATAGAATCTTGAGAGTTGTAGTTTGGTGAGGTACCAGCACTCTTGGGCAAGAAAGTTAAAGACCTTGTTAAACTACAACTCCTTGACTTCCATAGCATTGAGCTATGGCAGTTAAAGTGGTATCAAACTGCCTTAATTCCTCACTGTTTCACTGGAGTTGAACCCAGCCACCCCACTCAGGGCTAGTCCATTTCTGTGAGTTGGCCTCCTAGTGAAGCCTCCTCTGGTGAGGCCTCCAGGGACTCGGCTTTGCTGGGCCCCAAAGAGTGCTCTGAGTTGGTGCAGGTGGCGGAGGCCTCAGGGTCGCCTTTCTCAGCTCCAATAGCAGCTCCATCTTTCCCAGCAGGCTCCTTAGAAGCAGAGGAAGAAGGAGAGCACCTTCGGAAGCAGAGCTGGAAGACCTGCAGCGCTGCCATGACCAGGATCACCAGCATCACCACAGCCACCGTGATGAGGATGAAGACGTAGTTGGAGGAGTCCGACAGAGGCCGCGGTGTCTCCTCCGCCATACTCCCATTGACCACAGTAGGAAAGTGCTCCTCCACAGTGCTGTTGCTAGGTACTGCTGAAGGCAAGCCAGGCTGTGATGTTGAGGCAGCACCACCATTTTGTGCAGCCTGGAGGCAGGCTTCTGCATCGGTCCCTAAGCGGGAACCCAAAGCACAAAAGCAAAAGAAGGCACCTTGAGGATCCTGACAGGTGTCGAGCTGCATGCAGGCCGCCTCTCTGGGGCTCCAGTATCCACTGGGGCAGGAACAGAGCCGCTCCTCCATCTCTCTTTCCCAGTGATAGCCATCAGTTGAGAGGCGGCAAGTGAAGTGAGCTTCTTGACCTCCGGGGCACCTCAGAGTGAGCTCCGTTCCGGGCGGGCTGAACTCAACAGCTGCACTTTGGAGGTGGGAATGGGGCAATATGTACCGAAGGCTGGATGATGGCTTAAGAGTGGAGCAGCCACCACCATAGATGTATTTGCAGATATAACCCGCACTGGTTTTAGTGCAAGGGTGATCCCTCAAGCCCCATGGCTCCAAATGAGGTCCTCCCAGCATTACCTGCAATCCAGCGCAGCGCTCCACGGTACATGACTTGCTAGGCTCCCTCAGCCAGCCGAGGCCACTCTTGTTCCTTGCCATCTCCATGAAATCACCATCTGAGGTCCAAGAAAAGCCCCTCAGTGGCAGGTCCTCCCTGGTGCACTGCTGAGCCTTCCTCACTAAGCCCAGCCAGAAGAAGTGGATGCCAGAGGTGCTGCCTAGGTTACCAAGCAGAGCCAAAATGGTGCTCACTTCGTTGGCATTGTTGGCAGTGCTAAGGCCACCTCCTTGTCCCATGCAGGCCTCCTGAGCCTTCTGGAAAGCCAGCCTGACCAATTGGGCACTGTAGCAGGTCCTTGAATCGGCCTGGCACTTAGTGAAGGCAGAAGGAAGAATCCCAGAGCCTCCTGGAGTGTAGAAAAACTGCCATAGTACCAGAAAAACCAATAAGACTCCCTTCATCTCGGCTCCCACTCACCACAATGGAAGGCCTGAGTGAGAGGCATTCAAAGGCAAACCAACCCGCCTGGATTGAAGGAAAGTGTCTTGGGCAACTCCTTTTTCCTCCCAAGTTCACAACAATAATCTTTGCCTGCCACAGCCTTCCCCTCTGAGTTGCTGGAAGGAAATGTGTCAGGGGTTACACATCCTTGATTTGTTGAATGGCCTTGTGCCAAAGTCTCCTTTTCCAGAGCGAGGAAGCATCTGATAAAACCTAGCCAGAGGATTTTCCCCCTTCATGGCGGGTAACTGGAGAAATGGCCCTCACAAACCAGGCATAGGAAAGCAGCCTGGGATTTCAGGCTATTGTTTGCTTAGAGTTTGATCCCTGCTACTCTGAACGTTCAGAAAGGAAAAACTGGTAGCTAAGCTGGGAAAAGACGTTTTTGTGGTGTAAGAAAGCATGAAATAGATGCTTGTGTTTGGTACACAAATCATGGTTTGATACAGTTTCTGAGTTTAATGTAATTGGGAAGGTATTTAATTGTAAACTACACTTTTTTTGGGACACTTTTTAAAATACTAAAAAACTAATTTTAGAAGTTAAATTTTCCTCCCCCAAATTACTGTTTTTATATCACCAAATATCATCCCGGTTGAAGTATCTAACTCATGTTGTACACCATTTCACCTTCCTTCTGTACTATTATGACTTTCACTTCCTTGCAAACTTGTCAGGATAGTTGAATGACTTCAAATACTCCAAAATACCTTGCAAAGATAAATTTTATGGATATTTCTGGTGATCGAAGTTTTGGAAGAAGCCAGGGACTCATTGCAGCGACAGGGTCAATAAGATAGGTCTGTTGTGTGACAGGTGACTGAGAGGAGCATGGTTGTGTTATAAATCATTTTAGTGATGAATATTCAGTGTGAAAGTTCTTACTGCTTGTAAGGTTCCCTTTTGCTCCTTTTCCTTCCTAATAAAATTGTAATTTTAGTTCTTGGCACTTTTAAAATCTCAAGCTGTCCTATAGTGAGAAAAATGTCAGGTGGATCAGTTTGTGTTCTCAAGTTATCAGGGAAAAGGCATATAAAATTTAAGCATTTCCAGGATCATAATAAAATTGCTGCCGCCCCCCTCCCCCGCTGCTCAACTGTAGGAGTTCGCCAAAGAAGAAGTATCTAGCACCTTCTGAGGATCTCTAACAGTGGTACTTTATAGCCCAAGTTACATCAGTTGTTGGCCAATCTGCTCTAATCAAGCACCTGGTGGTTCCATTTTCATACAGTAAAACTACAGATGCAAGATTGCCATCCTTTATCCCAAGACTGGATGGAACTGTTGTGACATTTGGGGTTGTGAAATAGACCTCACAACCTCTGATGATTTCTGCCATAGATGCAGACAAAACGTTAGGAGAGAATGCTTCTAGAACATGGCCATACAGCCCGAAAAACCTACAACAACCCAATGGGTGTTTTGTTTTGTAATTCTACATATATAATGTGTATTGACTAGACAATCCCCCAGATAGCTTCGCCCCAACTAGGACCCAAAATTTTGTCCTTGCACTTTATTTTTGTTCTGTACCCAAATTTATAATGCTCTTATACTGCCCCCTATTTCTATTGCTGCCTTATAACCTATGTACTTTATCCATCAGCCCTATCCTTACAATTGTTTTTTGCAGCAGTCTGCCCACCTGTGCCCAGAAACTGATTATTACTGTAGAGCTCATCGGTTATTGGTTTGATGTTTTGTTTTCATATTTTGTTATAATGTTGTTGTTTTTTTCTGGCTTTGTTTTATGTTGTTGTTTAGATATTTTAATATGCAATATTTTAACCATGTCAATCATCTCGTCCCCATGTAAGCCACCCCGAGTCCCTCCAGGGAGATGGAGATGGGGTACAAAAATAAAGTTATTATTATTATTATTATTATTATTATTATTATTATTATTATTATTATTATTGGTGATGGCATTTAATTTTGTTGTACAATGTACAATGATAATAAAGTTATTCTATTCTGAGTTCACATTGCGACACCTCATATACATTATCATCAGTGATACAACTTTTTTTCCAGTTGAACCATGGCAGAATTAAGTACTGAGCTTTTAATAAGATTTGCCCATACAAAAATAAATGTCTGAAGAATTCCAGTCCATTTGTCGTGAGGCAGAGTTTCCCTAGGAAACTCTGCCACTAGAATAGCAGGAAGCTTCAAGCCTAGGCATAAATAAGTGATGTCAATTCTTGGTAATTTGCCAAGGCTCCCTCCTCCGTGGAATATCTTAATGCAGAACGCAGCAGGTGTTTGCAAAAAAAGAACAGCTGAACCAAAATTTCAAAATAAGGGAAAGGGCATTCTGACTTGGAGAAATTATTACTGAACTCAAGGACACAATATCAGTATGAAGTCAAAACAACGGTTATTTTTGATTGAGGCTTGGAAATGTCAAAATAGAACTTGTTTAGAAATACTTTTAAATCACTTTTTAGGACCCTTTTGGGCCATGCTACTGCACAAGCAATCACTGGAGAAAGGGATGGCATGTGGGGGTGGCTTGTGGTGCCCCACGCGCCCTCCCTCCTCCCCTCACACAGCAGGGACAGGAGAGGATGTTTTGGTTCCCTTTTCTTCCCTTCATCTGATGGTAGAAAGGGTGGCATCACACAGCAAAGAGTAGAGGAAGGTGCAGGTAGCTCCATCAAAGCTATCCAAATTACACTTTCCTCCCCACAGTGGAGAAGAAAGTGCCTTTCAGGGAGAAATGTGAGTGGGGCCAGGTGTGCATCATGTGATGGCGCACAACAGGCCCCATCCTTGCTGCACATAAAAGCGGCAAAATGGGGCAAAAATGCCCCATGTGAAGAGTTCCTTAGTCTTAACTAGGATGGACAGCTCTGTCAACTAGAGACTAATTTTCACTCCCTTTCCACATGAGCATGTACCAGCAGTGTCATTATATGTCACTTCTAGTCACATTTTAACTGGTTTTCAACTAAAAGCTAGCATAGTTGTGCAGGTGGAAACATTACAGGAAGATAAGAAAGATAAACCACTACATTAGGAGGCTACTTCCTTGTGAAAGATTCAAAAACCAAGGGTGTATATACACAGTAAAATTGATGCAGTTAGACACAACACCAACTGCCATGGCTCAATGCTATAGAACCATGGGAACTGTAATTTTACAGGGTCTTTAACCTTCTCTTCCATATCATGCTGGAGCCTCACCAAACTACAACTCGCATTACATTATGTAGCACATTTTTTGTTCCTTGGTTATAAATGTCATTTCCTAATTGGTTCAATAATAAAAAACATGGGAAAAGTTTACTAAACTACAATAACTTTGTTTTTGCAGGACATCCTGCAGCACATTTTGCTATAATTTTTCAATAAATATCTTCATATGCCTTTCCCCCCAGTACCATTTTTCCTTGCAGTGCCCCACATGCCTTCCCCCCTTCCCCCATCAGACAGGGGTAACAGAACAAGGTGCTTTGGCACCCTGACCCCATCAGATGGAGGAAAGAGCAGCAATGGGAATTGTCATGTTGCCCTTTTTCCCATCACATGGAGGAAAGGGTCCAAAAATGTGAGTAGCTGCCCGAATAACACCTACATCTTGGCACTTGGAGGGTCAATGGGCCAGGGCCTGCCAAGCATCATGTGATGGCACTCGGCAGACCCCATCCCAAAGTGCTGCAAATTTTCCCCAGTGTGATGAAGCGGATAGAGTTTCAACCAATTCATCATAGTTTGTGGCAGCCACAAAAAAAGATGTTTCTGGAGTATAACTATTTTCAAAGACCCAGACAATTAAACAGGAAATAACACTTTGAAACCAGGAACAGACCATGCTTTCCCCATTGCTGTTCTAAACTTCATGCCCTTCCTACATTATCTGCATTCTTATTTAATGCATTTATTATCCTGCCTGCCTTTTGAAAAATAGCATTCACATGCAGTTACTATATGCAAGGACTACTTCCAGGTGGAGAGCTTCTAAGAGTAGAGATATCAAAGGCTTATGGGCAATTAGCCCATCTTTTTCCTTATTTTTTTGAGAGAAAATATGATCCTTCCAGTGCAAACCAGAAATGAAATCAGTTCAAATAAGGATATTCAAATAAGGATATTAAATAAGGAGCTTCACTGTATGTTTGAAATGCTTTACAATGTGCCATTGCAGACAGTTGCAAACTCATAGTGTCCTTAGCTATACCCAACTGCGTTTTAATGTAACAGGCCTGAAGGATCTTTATAAATCCCGTAACTGTTTCCCCAATAGGCAAGGCCGTTTTGCAACTAAGGGCAGTTTCAGGCACCCCTTTATCTCAGGATCATTCACGTTTTAAAAACGTGGATGTTCCTGGGGGGCTGTCTACACTCACCCCAGAAAGTGTGTGCTTTCTGGGATGGGTGTCCAGATGTTCTGCCAGAACTAGCCCGGCAGAACATCTGGGAACCCTCCGTCCTCCCCCAATGTCCCCAAACCCCTTTTAAAAGTAAACTTACCTGGCCTCCAGTATACTGTTGCAGCCGCTCTCCCGTTGCATAGAAATGATGCGCCAGTGTCATGTATTATGTTCTGTAATTGATGGTGCTTGGTGATGGAAGGGTTAATGTAAGTCTTGGTTCTAAAGGGTTGAGTAATCTGTAAGTAAGAGTTCATGCGTGAAAGCAATTAAGGGTGGACGTATGCAAGAGATAGGTTGCAGCTGAGTGTTTCTGTATATAAGGAGCTAGCCTTGGGATTGATCTTCAGGAGAAAAGTATTTGTCATATTTTGTTTGGAAAACTGTGAGAATGGTGTCTGGACTGCACCAAAACTCTACTTTTGGACATACTCTTGAGTCTGGCTTTTTAAGGTATCTGGGTTCCGATAGGTGGGGTTGGGGGGGGTGATTTTGTCATTTAGGAGTTGTAGTTATTGGAATTTATAGTTCATCTACAATCAAAGACCATTCTGAACCCTTCCAGCAATAAAACTGAACCAAACTTGACACACAGAACTCCATGACCAACAGAAAATATTGGAAGGGTTTGGTGAGCACTGACCTTGAGTTTTGGAGTTGTAGTTCACCTACATGCAGAGAGCAC